AGGCAATTATATGTAAAACATTGTATTTCCGGCATCTTTGAAGAAGTTGGTTGACTTAGCTACACATGTTCCCATCCTAATATAGCAACAGTTAGGAGGAGCTGTTCCACTGGGACACCTGGTCACAGCCTACACCTACTTTGCCTGTTCCCTGTAGACATTTGAGTCTGTAACCTCTGCTACAGTTTAGGGCTCCAAAATAAATGTGGAGGGGAAGCACTCCCCATCACTCCAGGTAATCATCCAGTGCTCATAGATGCAGGAATCAGACTGGATTTATTATGCTGAGTAGTAATCGCATTTTACTGGTTAGCTGTATGAACATATTACTGCACATCTCTCATAGACTTTAGACATATTGGATCACATCTTTAAGACTATCACTACAGCCCCACATGATGGCCAAAAGCATCCATCCCCATCTTCCTCTTTCCAATACTCATTAAAGAATAGACTAGCTATGTGTAAAAAATGTTCACTCTCATAAATGAAGTTTTCGACACCCTTACATCCCCTACATAAGCCAAAAGAAGATCACGTAAAAATCCTTTGAAAAACTCCTGAATTTTCCAGAAAAAAAAATCTACCAACACTATAGTTCACTGTTTAGTTCTCCTCCTTCATGCTATTTCAAAATGGCTTAGTCCTCCATTAAAGATTTGATTATGCTATCAATAAATATTTTATTCTTAAATAGCAGCTTTAATATGGACATTAAAGCCCATTACAGTTTCATGCACCCACAGACACAGCTTCTCTTCCAAGGTGAGTAAAAGCAGATGACTTCTTTCATTTGCAAAAAAATGGAGAAGAGCAGTCTGCTATTAAAAAAAAAAAAAGAAAGAAAAATTAATAAAAAATGATGGGCTGGTAACCTGTATATTTGCATATCTTAATGTTCTAGCACCATTCTAATGTTAAAAGCAAACTTTGGAACCTTAATTTAAAGCACTGCCCAAATTGCTTAGGTAAGACATGACATACTTTTGTACTAAATAATTTTCATAGCTTTTCATTTCTTTCTTTTCATTACCCTCCTCTTCCTGGTCCCTCACTGTCCTCATTTCTCACTACCTCCTCTTTATTCAGTGGTCGGTTCTGTGCCCATGCAATGTCTTTGCCGAGGCTTAGAGCTTGGCTGTGATGAGACCAAATTACGAGCTGTTCCATCAGTTTCTTCAAATGTGACTGTAATGTAAGTAGAAAAGAATGGCTTTATCCTGACAGCCAGAATAGCACCTGTAAAATTGTATCATAATTAAGGCCTTGTAATTATGAATAATGCATTTTTATTCAAAGATGATGTCATTGTTCCATGGTCAATTATAATGATTACTGATATTTATTTTGCATTTATGAAATGCTAGCCCCTATTTAAATTATTCCATGCATTAACTTATTTAGCCCCTCATAACAATCCTATGAGGTAGTCAGTATCACCGTATTTTATCTAAACTAAAGATGCCATCAATTGTATGTGCTACTAAAGAAAAAAAGCTGCCAATGAAACTATTATATAGAGATTTCTT